CTTCATCAAAGGACAACACAGTAAGACACTTTGTCAAAATCTAGGTCAGATGAAATCAAAGTTCACTTAACATCTTAATCTGTGCACATGGTTCAAATTTCATAGCTGTACACCAAAGGACAAGAAAGTAGGTCACATCATCAAAATCTAAGTCACCTGATATCAAAGTTCAATTTTACAACAAAAACTGTACACATGGTCAAAATTTCATTGCTGCACATCAAAAGACAAGAAAGTAGGTCACTGTCCCCTTGGGCAAGGCAAAATTTTTGACCCAAGAGTTTAATTCAAAACAATCTTGATACAGGTCCACGAAACAACATTTCAAGTCAAATATCTAAGCTGTAGCTTTCTCCCATTCAGAAAACATTTGTTTTATTTTCTGTTTTTACTATGTGTACATAATGAGAATCACTGCCCCTGGGCAGGGCCAATTTTGACACCTTGGGAAAAATTTGAACAACTTTGGTAGAGGACCTTTTGATGATATAATATAGCAAACATCAAAGCATCAATGCCTTGAACCTTCAGACAAAAATATTTTTTTTTTTTTTTACTATATGTACATAATGAAAATCAATGACCCCCGGGGCGGGGACAATTTTGACCACAGGGCTATAATTTGAACAATCTTGGTAAAGGTTCACTTCGCAAAATCATATGCCATATATTTAACCTCTAGCCTTTATCAATTCAGAGAAGAAGATTTTTCAAGTTTTTGCTTTATACATATAAGGAAAACTATCGCCTCTGGGGCAGGGCAATTTTAACACTAGGGGCATAATTAAAACAACTTTAGAAGAGGACCCATAGAAGATATTATATACCAAATATCAAAGCTCTAGGCCTTGTACCTTCAGACAAGAAAATTTTTAATTTTTACTATATGTACATAGTAAAAATCAATGACCCCTAGGGGTGGGGCCAATTTTGACCCCAGGGCTATAATTTGTACAATCTTGTCAGAGGTTCACTACATAATGTTTCATGCAAAATATCTTAACTCTAGCCTTTGTTAATTTATAGAAGATGATTTTTTAAGTTTTTACTATATACATATAAGGTAAACCTATAGCCCTCGGGGCGGGACTAGTTTTGACACTAAAGGCAAAATTTGAACAACTTTGGTAGAGTACCTATGGATGATATCATTTAACAAATATTAAAGCTCTAAGCCTTGTACCTTCAGACAATAAGTTTTTTTTTATTTTTTACTATAGGTATGTATTGAAAATCAATGACCCCCGGGGCGGGGGCAATTTTGACCCCAGGGCTTTAATTTCAGCAATCTTGCTAGAAGTTCACTTCACAATGTTTCATGCAAAATATCTAACCTCTAGCATTTGTCAATTGCTAGAAGAAATTTTTTTACGTTTTTTTTCTATAAGTTTTTACTATATACATATAAAGAAAACCAATGACCCCCGGGGCGGGGCCGATTTTGACCCCAGGGCTATAATTTGAACAATCTGGATAGAGGTCTACCAGACAATGCCTTATGCAAAATATCTAAGCTCTAGGCCTTTTGTGTCTTTACAAGAAGGCATTTTAAGTTTTTACTATATGAAGATATAGTGAAAATCAATGACCCCTGGGGCGGGGCCGATTTTGACCCCAGGGCTATAATTTGAACAATATTGGTAAGGGTCTACCAGACAATGCCTTATGCAAAATATCTAAGCTCTAGGCCTTTTGGGTCTTTACAAGAAGGTATTTTAAGTTTTTACTATATGTACATATAGTGAAAATCAATGACCCCTGGGGCGGGGCCGATTTTGACCCCAGGGCTTTAATTTGAACAATCTTGGTAGAGGTCTACCAGACAATGCCTTATGCAAAATATCTAAGCTCTAGGCCTTTTGGGTCTTTACAAGAAGATTTTTTAAATGTATTCTTATAATTCCTTTTGGTTGCCATGGCAACCAGATTTCTGTATGGAATGAAATTCTTTGAACAACTTTGGAAGCCCTTCACCCAAGGATCAATCCTGCCAAGTTTGGTTGAAATTGGACTAGTGGTTTTTTACAAGAAGATTTTTTAAGTTCACTATATAATCTATATAACACACACACACACAAACAAACAAACAAACACACACACACACACACACACACACACAGGTGAATCGCTATATGCCACCGCATCGCAGATGCTGCGGTGGCATAAAAACAAAGGGCCATAATTAGGTCAAATATTATCCAATCACAAAACCCTGACAATATGCACCAGGGCACTTGATGACAAAGCTTCTGTGAAAGTTTGAACAAAATCCGTTGAGAATTGTAGAGGGAGTTCAGCACAGAAGAAATTGTTCATTATATATTCTATATAAGGAAAAAAAAAAAGGGCAATAATTAGGTCAAATATTATCCAATCGCAAAACCCCGACAATATGCCCCAGGGCACTTGGTGACAAAGGTTCTGTGAAAGTTTGGTCAAAATCCGTGGAGAAATGTAGGAGGAGTTGTGCACAGAAGAAATTGTTCACTATATATTCTTTATAAGGAAAAAAAACAAAGGGCCATAATTAGGTCAAATATAATCCAATTGCAAAACCCCGACAATATGCCCAAGGGCACTTGATGACAAAGCTTATGTGAAAGTTTGGTCAAAATCGGTTGAGAAATGTAGGAGGAGTTGCGCACAGAAGAAATAGTTCACTATATATTCTATATAAGGGAAAAAAACAAAGGGCCATAGTAATGATAGTTAGGTCAAATATTATCCAATCACAAAACCCCGACAATATGCGCCAGGGCACTTGATGACAAAGCTTTTGTGAAAGTTTGGGCAAAATCCGTTGAGAAAAGTAGGAGGAGTTGCGCACAGAAGAAATTCGTTACGCCCGCCCGACCGCCCGCCCACCCGCCGACATACCTCAATCTAATAACCAGTTTTTTCCTTCGGAAAACCTGGTTAAAAATGTCCTATTTGGGCCCCAAACGCATGTTTTAGTTTGAGAAATGTAGCTAAAAAAAGTGAGCACTTTTCCGGCGCCGCCCCCCCATCCAAAAGATACATCTGGGGGTTGCCAGAAGGGGGATGTGCCTCCTTCCGTTTGGGGGGTTTGAAGGGGGGCGGAGTCCCCCTCATCGCCAAGAAAATTTTGGACTTGTAAGAGGCTTAAAATGACCCCATGTCGATCATAAGGTAACGTGTAACCAACGCTGAAAAGCCTTTGACTCTATCTCAATCCCTTGAGAAGTTGCAGCACTTTGAAATAAATTTTGATGGAAAAAATCGAGGCAAAATAGTGATTTTTGGCAATTTTGAGATGTCCCCTCGTTGCCATGGTAACAGGAAATTTAAGACTGAGCATGTCGTTACAAAGGTAATGGTCCAGTCAACATTTGTGCCAAGTTTGATTAGTATTGAAGCATTTTTCATAGTTTCATAGCAGTTTGAACTTGTAAGAGGAGGCTTTTCAGTGAAAATGGCCATTTTTCACAATATGCTCATGGGGGAAAGGGTTAAGATGACTTCATAGCTCTACTATTCAAAGAATGGGGAGAGATACTGTACTGTACTGTACACACACCTGTGTCACACTTTGATTAACTTTTTGTGTTGGTATCTCCAAATCTACTGAAGGGAATGGGTTGGAACTTTACATACTTATTTGAGAGCATAATAGGTCACTATCCAAGGCCCATAACACTACCATTGATTTTGAAAGAATTATGGCCCTTTGTGAACTAAAAAAAAACTACATTATCAAGACTTGTTTTACTATCAAGCACTGAGAATAGTCTAGCAAAACAGCTCATTTTTTACAATACTCATATTAACATAAACACACCAACTCTTTCCATGCTTAATATCTTAAATGTACTTCTCCACCTTTCAACCTGGACAAAACCATATAATAATTATGTACTGATTGAATAGAGAACAGTGCAGACCATTAAAAAAAAAAAAAAAAAAAAAAATCAAAAAGACAGAACAAAACTGTCCAACTTCTATTGTTTTTTGTTTATCAAACCGCACCAACAATATAAAGATTATAACACGACTTCCCAGTTCTACTCTTCCCTGAGCTAGCCCCGGGATAGCTTCCTCACATGAAAGAATACAAAGTCCCAAACAATATTCAAACCCACAGCAATGAAATACAAGTGGTTTGAAGTCAACAACCTTAACAATTCAGCAATGGATGCTCACGTTCAACTTCTGTTAATTCTTCAAATTAATATAGACAAACTTATTGCACTAAACTTAGCACACATCTACCATTTAGTAAGAAAATATGGCACTCTATTATTTTCTGTCTACTGTATGCAGAGTCTGTGACACAAATAAGAAATGTAATTTTCAGTACTTGTATGTCTCAAATTTTCAGAGAAACTCAACATTTTATTTGTTTCTATCTTAATAAAATGTTATCGAACAGTAATACCAGATTAACTTTAAACAAACTTAAAATTTTATGAAAGTACTGCTCCTTTTTAATATTAATAAAAAACAATAGTTTTTTGGTCAAATCACACAAAAATTATTATACATGTACTTGTTATGTGATTTTTTTTAATGTTTTGCTCTCAATACTGCTAAACCACAAATGTTTAAGAAAATGCCTGACAATAACACTTTATTACATGACAAACAGCAATTTAGCATAAATTAAAACAAAACTGTCTTTAAAGGCCCATTAAGTGGCAAAAATCGGTTTTTCACTTTTTATTTTTGGTGTCCTGTCACAGTTTTCTAGTCTACTCAATCACTATATTGCTGAGCCATCTCTTGCTTATGACCGCCTCCGTGGTCGAGGGCTTAGAGTCAATGACTTCTTATCCAGTTACAACTCTGGCGTGGGTTCGATCCCCGGGAGATGCTTTGGTAGTTTAGCACGGAGGAAGGTAGTCTAGTACTGGTGTAACTCTCCAGGAACGATGGTTAGGAAACTACCCGCCTATATGACTGAAATACTGTTGGGAAACTACCCGCCTATATGACTGAAATACTGTTGGGAAAAGGCGTAAATGAAACAAACAAACAAACAATCTCTTGCTTCTTTTACATTTTGGCGATAACTTTTACATTTTGGCAATAAGAACAGTTAAACTGATTACAGTATCTTGTATGGAGGTCAAAATACACCTTTGTTTACATTTTGCTACCTTTTACAAAAGCTCTTTTCCTCATATAATAAGCATCTTACATGTTATAAAACTATCATTACAACATCATAAAACATAAATTATATTTGTCTTTATTACAGAAAGTAATAGATAATAATTTCTGAGGCTTCATGTACCTTTAATTCAAGAAAACCTTACCAACAGACTCCCTGTCGTGATTTTTACTGTTTAAGAACTGAAAAGCAGACATTTCATATTTTGACCTAATACAAAGTGGCCAACTGTGTCAGTATTGATTAAAATAATCTGTCTGAACAGGCATCTTCTGCCTGTCAAAATCAATTAACATTTGCACAAATTGGTAAATGGACTAGAACATAAAATGACACAATCTGTGCTAGGTAGATGGCAGTAATTGTTCCAATTGATTCCATAACAGATCTCTTTTCCAAACTATAACTGCCACTGTGGTTGCCATGACAACAAGAATTGGTAATCTTCGTGACCGTCCATTTACCTTTTTCTGACTGTCTTTGTCCAATATATCTGGAGGGTTATAGTTGCCTGTTTCTAAAGTCTGAAAATAAAAAGGGCCTAATAAAATTACTTGTATTTAAAAAATTCTCTTTCAAATGATTCATAGTAGAGTATTAAACAAGAGCACAATATGTGGTGTTAACACTCGCCTGTACATGAACTTTCATACTCTAATATTCTTATTTGAAAATTGACAAAACTTCTAAATCATTGCTGACAGCCACTTGTTTAACAACTGTCCCTGCCATGATAAATAAGTATTCCAAGTTTCACATTGATAGCTTTGATAGTTTTCAAATCATCGTGAATCCTTAATAGAACAAAAATTCTAGTTTGAATTGGGCATAAAGCCATAAACTCAAAAATGATTTCTTTCAGAATTAAGTCACTCAAGCACAGTACAGTATACTCAAGCACAGTACAGTATTTCAGTTAAAGACTGGCTGAAAACAAAATTATGACCTTTATTCTATAAAAGTACACCATATCAATTTATTTTTCAACAAAACTTTGCTCATGAATTTTTCCTACTTAAGACACAAGGCTCTTTTCTTGTAAAATCAATCAACAAATAAATCAACACAGAAGAACATGTCGAGCATCAATAATTTGAACTGACATTTGCAAACCAAATGTTTTTCCCTAATGAGGTGGCCTTGAAGGCCCCGTTAACTAAAGTTATTCATTCAACTGTAAAAGAAAAGTCACAACTTACCTTATTTAAATGTGATTTCAGTGAGAGCAGTTGTTTCTCCAGTGTTGAAATGTTATATAGAGTATCTTGTGTGTGTTGTAATAACTGTTTCGGTCCTGTTCCGTCCTGTTATTGAATAAATATTATAACTAGACAATGTGCCTCCCAAAATAATAAAAGCAAAAATATATATGTAAATTATTTAATATACCTTTTAAATTCCTTTTATACAATTACATATTTAATAGAAATAATCAGAAAGATTGTTTTAAAGCCCCATTATGCCTTAGAAATGCTTTTATTTCTCAAAAGCTTTTTTCTTTTCTTTTTTAATTTTGGTTGTCTTGTTTTTGTTTCCAGAAAGTTATACATTGCCCAATAACTTGATCTCTCTTTTGCTTCTGTTTCAGCTATAAGTATATCCACGGTGATTTAGTACTGAAAAATGATTTAGTATTGAAAGTCAAAATACTGCTTTGTTTACAATTTGCTACTTTAATGATGATGAATTTCACTACTCTCTTCAGATGATAAGCATCAAACATGCGCTTAAAAAGAATATTAAAATGTTATTCAACTTAGGTTTGCTTTTTCTAAAGAAAGAAAAACTGATTTGTTTCTAAGGCATAATGTGCCTTTAAAACAGTTTAAAACCTTGATGATAGCATTTTGTTTCCAGTATGGAGATGTTACAGATGGTTAATTAAGCAATTAAAAAACAGGTATAGATATGCTAAAATCCATACAAGAAGATTCTGATAAAAAAATCTCCTCAATAAGATCTATATACTGTAAAATCATTTTTATTCGTGGGGCACGAATTTTCGTGGTTTTCGTGGGTAGGTCAATCCACGCATTTTAAGATCCGACGAACTTTTATCCCAACAAATACTTCTTACCCAGTCTCTGTTCTATATATTATAAACATGCGTCGGCTCTTTTCCGGCCCATATTTCTGATGGATGTAAGTACAGACAGATAACCAGGTTAGTGACATATTAAATCGGTTTGCAATATTTAAGAAACTTGAAAGAAAACTCGATTATATGGAATCCCGGACAATCCCCCTCCCGGACGATTCCCCTTCCATATTATTTTCACAACCCGGACATTTCCCCTCTCGTTAATTTTATAGGACGGACAATTCCCCTCCCGTTATTTTAGATGAGCGGACAATTCCCCTCACGTTTTTTCACAGAGCGGAACGTGACATTATACGGCCCTTAATCATAGCCGCCACTGCGTATAAAAAAATCTATAACCATTCTTATTAAAGATGACAGTTTTTACTCTTAACAACAAACTGTTAAAGATCGGAACTTTTAACAATCATTATTTCACAAAGGTGACATTATACCGCCTTTAATCATTGCCGCCGCTGCTTAAGATAAACAAACTGTCAATAAAAAATCTTTAATCAATGCTGCCCTTAATTAAACGTGTCCTTGATTGCAAAACCAATTATTTACAATTATTTTACCGCTGCAGAAATGTACTGACTAAATAAAGATTATTTTAACAAAAAAATGCGTTTTGTTTATATTCATGTCAATATAGACAAGCAAAGTGTATTTAAAGTCGATTAAAAATACCTTTCAAATAAACAATATTATAACATATATTTGTTCAACAGCCAAGGGAGGGAAATTGTCCGCTCTGACAACAGCGGGAGGGGAATTGTCCGCTCTGATAAAATAACGGGAGGGGAATTGTCCGCCGTAAAAAAATAACAGGAGGGGAAATGTCCGGGTTGTGAAAAAACATTCAAATTTACTGGGAGGGGAATCGTCCGGGAGGGGAATTGTCCGGATACCGATTATATGTCCTCAATTTACTGTCACAAATGTCGCATATACATACTTGATCGTTGTAGTCTACTAGGACTTGATTGTGTTAACAAGAATACTTGACATAATCGAGTAAATATGGGAACCCAGGCAGTGCAATAATTAGCGCTAATAAAAATTGTCAGTTTGCTCTTATTAATTTTAAAAAAAGTCTTTGATATTAATGTCGTAAGTACACAAAACTATAAAAAAAAATACGATCGCTAAAACAGATTTATTGTACTTTCTTTTGTCGTTTTTAAATGATCCAGTTTATATGAATTTTAATCTGTATTTGTGCGAATGCTATTCCGTAAACATCAAAGACGCCACCGACTTTTACAAGATCCACATATACTCGTGTTATTTACCGAGAATAATTTATATGCATGTAAATTTACACAGTCGCTGTGACGTTGCGTGTAGTTACTGTCAAATATGTTAAGACCAATTCAGGGTGTAAACTTTTAAACTCGCTGGTTAAAACGTGCCAGGTGTCGTATAAATTATGCGATGTTTACATCGGCGAATTACAGGGGCAGTGTGTCCAATGGAGGTGCATATCATGTCACATAAATGTGTTAATTGCAGTCAATTATCGGCAGTAACTGTGCTATATTAGAGTTATGCCCAGAGGCAAGGATTAAATTTATTGACACGCGCTGTGTGACAAGTAAAGATATGTACATGTTGTAAGTAAAAATGTTCGGCGATTAAGTTTAAGATTACTTTGCATTAGGTTACTGAATTTTTTTTTAACAAGAAAACAAAAATCAGCGAATTTAAGAACCCACGAAAATGCCCGTTTTGATAAAACCACGAAATTTCATGCCCACGAATATAAGTGAATTCGCAGTATATAATAAGTTTTAATTTGTTATCTCAAATACTTTTCAAATAAAGCTTTGGACAGAAATTAGGTAGGAAAAAATATAACAGGGCAATTATTTAAACTCAAAAAAATATGAAGGATACAATTATCAATCTTGTGCATTTGCACTCCCCCTCAATGATATTTATCCCCTATGAAGTTTCAAATTTATATCTTATGTACCTTTCAATTAAGTTATGCTCAGGACAAAAAATGTAGGACATAAGGAATGAGAGTATTAATATATCCCAAAACCTGAACTGGAGATTAAAATTGAAATAAAAAGTATATGTATCCTTTTCTTTGCCATGAAAATAGTTTTGATTAATTTTCTTGTTGGGTTTACCTCCTTTTTGCCAAGATATTACATGTAACATCAAAAGAATAGTTACATTTTTAGTTTGTAAAATCTTTTCATATTTGACTTCATGTCTTTCTTTATCAACATTCATATAAATTTAGATTTTCCTGGAGTAGGTCAAAGGACTTCATAGAAAATATTTTTACCTGAAGCTGGTCAAGGATTTTCGGGTTAGATTTGAACTGATCTTGTAGAAAGCCTACTGTTGTTGTGATATATTTGGTATGTTTTGATATGTTGGCAATGACTGCTAGACCTTCAGCACAACTGGAAACAGAAGGTTATATTTAATCAGGGATACGGACAAAAGCCCCCCCCCACCCACCCCCGGACGAAAGCCCCCCATCTAAAAATGACAAAGGTGGACAAAAGCCCCCCCATGAATTTTCCACATAGGACAAAAGCCCCCCCCATAAAAAAGTAAAGGTAGGACAAAAGCCCCCCCCCCCATGGTCCATCACATTTACATTTAGTGTCAATGAATAAATATCTGCCTTTTTTCAATTAATTTGGGTATTTCATCATCCACCAGAACAGAGTGAAGGCTCTTTGTCAGCAGTTTGACAAGGATGTGAAGACTATGGCACAATTTCTGTATGCCATGTCACAATGTATCATTTTGAACAAATTAACAAAATAAACAATTTTATTGAAAAAACATGCATATACAAATATATGTTTTCTATTTGTTAATTAAATATATATAACAAAATAACCAAATTAATTGAAAAAAGGCAGATATTAATTCATTGACACTAAATGTAAATGTGATGGACCATGGGGGGGGCTTTTGTCCTACCTTTACTTTTTTATGGGGGGGCTTTTGTCCTATGTGTCATTTTTAGATGGGGGGGCTTTCGTCCGGGGGGGCTTTTGTCCTACACTCATAATTAGTTATACAATTTTAACAACTTAAAGATAACAAAAAATATCAGTTGTTATAGCTTAAAATATGGTAAAGACAATGCACGTTACTTACATATATGATAAGCAAAATTATAATTATCTATAAGTAAGTAAGTAAGTAAGTAAGTAACGACTTTATTTAACGAGGCTTACACCTTCAGTTTCCCGATCTTCCATGTGGGCCTCAGCATAACATTATTACAATCACTTTACATGTACACAACATATACACAACATATCTACACAAATATTATTAAAATAGATCAATTAAATTGAAGTAATGATTGATAAAGCAAAAAATGATATGATTGTACAACAATACAGAGAAAAAGAGCAATATGTACAGATAGGTAAAACTAACATAGTACCTGTTTAAAACAATATTTAGTACCTATTTAAAACAATATTTATACTTATAAATACACCATGGAAATTCAAATGATAATTTAAGTGATATTATTATCTAATACATATTGGCTCATGAGGTATTTTAAAATATAACTAAAATATGTCTAAATATATACATAAATTTAAGTTCAATTGGAGTAGGAAATCATCATTTGGCATCATTGAATCATAAATTTTCCTATTGGGAAAATATGGGACAAAAGTAAAAGAAACGATAACAATAGTAATACAGTAATAATAAAAATACATATAAGTAATTTATACAACAGGAATAAATCAACAGCTAGTTTAAGGTGAAAACTGCCATTTGATATAAGCTGAATGAAATTTCCGAAGAGTATCGGAATTTCTTATATGTACTGGTATGTCATTCCATATTTTTGGTCCAGAGTATGCAAATGATTTTCTGAAGAATTCTGTTTTAGGTTTTGGTATAATAAGCTTTGCATTTTGTGCTGATCTGAGGTTTAAGTTGTGCCTTTCGTTTACTGTCTGGAATTTATTTTTCATATATGTTGGAAAGTCAGGTTCATTAATTGATTTATACATAAGAATTGACTTTTTGTATATGATTCTTTGGTCAAAAGACATCCAGTTAAATTCTTTGAATAATTCACTTGATGGTGTATCAAAATTTTTGTCAAGAAGTATTCTTGCTGCCCTTTTTTGAAATTTAATGACATCAGATAGTAATTCGTTATTGCAGTTTCCCCAAATAGTACAACAGTAGTCCAAGTGAGGCAGTATGTATGCATTAAAAAAAAGTTTTCTTGAATGAAGATTAAGATACTGTTTAAGTCTAAGAAGTAAATACAGATGTGAGTTGCATTTTTTTATAGTTGACTGGACCTGTGTTTTCCATTTAAGATTGTTGTCTACATACATTCCAAGTAGTTTTTCAGTGTTTGTATATTCTATTTCTTGGTTATTAAGAAACAAAGTAGGGGGTTGCATATTATCTGTTTTTGTGCTTTTTATTGATAAATGCATAGCTTTAGATTTCTGAGCATTCAGAACCATTGCATTTTGCATGCACCATGTGTTTACATTATCAAGATCTTTTTGAAGGTTGCTGTTTACTTCTTGTAAAGTATTGCCAGTAGTTGTCAGAGAAGTGTCATCTGCAAACATATCAGTAATTGATTGTTTGATATGAAATGGTAGATCATTGATGAATATAATGAATAGAAGGGGCCCAAGGACTCAGCCTTGGGGTAACCTGAGACAACTTCAGCTGGTTCAGATAATACACCAGAAACATTTACTTTTTGATACCTTTCTGACAGATAAGATTTAATCCAATTTATAGCTTGTGAAGAGAGGTGATAAAAAGGTAGTTTTTCAAGTAGTAGGTTATGGTTTACTAAGTCAAATGCCTTAGATAGGTCCAGAAAAAGTGTACCAACAAGTTTGCCATTGTTTAGTGTATTGATCCAGTTATCAACTATATTTGTAAGTGCTGTTTCACAGGAGTGGCTTGTTCTGAAACCGGACTGTGTAGTGAAAAGTAAATTATTATTTTCTAGAAAGCATTTCAAATGGTCTGATACATGCTTTTCGAATATTTTAGAAATAAGTGAAGTATTGATATTGGTCTATAGTTATTTTTGTCTGATTTTGACCCTTTTTTGTAGATGGGTATTACCTTTGATTGTTTAAGCTGTGTTGGGAATTTTCCATGTTCTATACTTAGATTTATTACAGAACAGAGAGGTTTACAAATGACGTCTGAGGCTGTTTTTAGGAATTTTGCACTTATGCCATCTAAACCAGTTGCTTTTGTAATATCAAGACTGTCCAACTTTTGTTTGACATAACTTATTTCAACAAAGGGTATTTTGAATTTATTAGAATGATTTAGAGTGTCAGATTTCAGAGAATCATTTAAAGCGGTTTTCATAGAATCCGATAATTCATTAATGTTTTCAGCCTTTTTAAATATATTTGCAAAAAAGTTGTTAAAAGTTTGTGCTGTTGATTTTGGGTCAGTTATTGGTGAACCATTCTCAACATTTATGTAGTTTGTTTGATGATTTTCTGTTTTGCCAGAATGAATTTTTAAGTTTTTCCATAATTTTCTAGGGTTTTTCTTGTTTGAGTTTATCTCTTGTTCAAAGAAATCTGTTTTTGCTTTATGTGTTAATGTTTTTACTTGTGATTTCCAGTATTTGAAGTCATGAATATTATTTTTCTTTTTTGCATAGTTCCTTTTTTGTATTGCATCAGCTATATCATCATTAAACCAATCAGCTTGGTTTCTATGTTTTACTCGTTTCTGCTTGTATGGAGCATGCTTATCTAAAGTTTGTAAAAATAATTTGTTAAATGTATCTAAAGCATCATCTGGATCACTAAACATGTCAATGAGAGACCATGGCTGCTCTGACAATTCATGTACGAAATTTTCTGCATTAAAGTTCTTTAAGTACCTATATTTTATAGTGGCATGCATTGGACCTTTGTTAACAGTTTTAATTGTTCGTCGTGTGAAAAATATAGGATAATGGTCGCTTATAGAGAGTATAGGGACTGCAGTGTAGGATACATTATGTGGCTGGTTACTGTAAATGTGGTCAATAGTGGTTGAAGTCAATGGTGTGACTCTTGTAGGATGTGTTATAAGTTGAGAAAGGTTAAATGTGTTAATAATATTATTCCACCTTGTATTATTTGAGCAATTTGTAACAAAATTATAGTTGAAATCTCCAAAAAGAATTAATTCTTTGTTTTCAATAAATATTTTATCAAGGATTTCATCAATTTTACCATGATGCCAATGATGAAGGTGGCCTATAGATGTAACCCACCAGAAATGGTTTCTGTTTGTCAAGTTTTATTTCAAGCCATATTGACTCAATATCCTCCGATTCTAAGTCAGATCTTAATTCACATGGTATTGTAGACTTAACATATAACACAACTCCACCACCATTTGATATCCTATCGCGTCTAAACAGTTGATAATTTTTTAAACATATCTAGGCCCAGCAAGTTCAGGTTCTATAAGCAAACAACCATTTATAACAAGCCATATAACCTGTCAAAAATCTTCTTATCTTCAAGTATAAATGGTAATTTTGATATAAACATTAAGTACCTAAAAAGTTAAGTTTTTATTCAACTTAAGGAAAATCGTACTTATTAACTTTTTGCCATTCATGTAAAAGAACAAACGGTATTTCAATATAATCTCTTTACTTATGTATTTCTATCTGCTGTTTATACATGTAAGCATGATATATAAAATGTTGATGATAAAATCATTAAACAAGAGCTGTCCGTAAGACAGCGCGCTCGACTTTTTTATTGCTTGCCAATAAAAAAAGTTTTTGCAGTAAAAGGCAATACAAGAATCTCTGTATTTTTAAAGTGAACAATGGCCATGAGCATTAAGATATTTAGTGAAGAATTATTTTACTGAATTGTGTGATACCCTTGAACACTGCAGCAAAGTTTGAAATGTTTAAGTCAAAAGAGGGCTGGTAAGAAAGAAAAAAAAACTGAGTTGAGCCTTAAATAAATTTAATAGTATTAAACCCACTTTGAGAGAATAAGGTATTTTTACGTCACTCAGAACACCTTGGTAAATGACATAATAACATAATTTTTCAAGAAATCTATGCCAAGGAAGCAGTATATTTTTGTACAATCAGCATAATATATAGATTTGACTTTGTATGTGAAAGTATTATAGTTACCTTATAATACAAGTAATAGATAAATTTTATCAAGCTTTTTTAGATGTTGTCAGTTGGTCACAAGTGGATCTCTTTCACACAGGCTGTGGGTGACTGGTTACTTTTCGTGGGTCCACTATGTAGATAATGCGTTGTAAACTGATATTTGAATTACATGAAGGAAGTTCAATTCATTATTTAATGTCATGAATTTTTTTAGATTTTTTAAGTTTTTTAGTGCTTGCCTATAATACAAAACATTGACAGTTAAGGGCCATAATTCAAATAAAATCTTTGACAGAATTACCTTCTCCTGGACAT